ATTTTTTTTCTTATTGGACTTCATAGTATACCAATAATTCTATATTACACTGTTTCAAATACAAATCAATGTACAATACTTTCAACAACATATTTATATTATTATTTATGTATAATTCAAATAATTTTACATGGAATAATACCAATTATATTTCTTTCAATATTTGGTATATTAACATTTCAACAATTAAAAACAATAAAAACACGACATCATCATCGTCCTGGTGGTGGTCTTAGTAGTGATAAACAATTATCACGTATGCTTTTATTAATGTCACTTGCAATTATATTATCATCAATACCATATTGTATGGAACAAATTTATGAAGTTATGTTTATTCGTGATAATCGTTTAAAATCATCCTACTTTTTTCTTTATCATGTTATATCACATATATTATATTATACAAATCCAGTAACAAGTTTTTATATCTATTATATTTCAACACCTAATTTTCGTATTCAAGTAAAGAAGATTATTTTTTGTAAGACACATATTCATTATCTTGTTTATTATCAAGTGACAGGAGTAACTTCTTCGTCACAAAGTACATCTGTTAATATATGTAGTAAAAGTGAACACCATTCGAAAATTAATATTTCCTAATTATAAATATGTGAATATGTTTTTACATTTTATTTTACTATTCAAAATTGTTTAATAGAATTCTATGTGCAACATTTTTCTTATTCTTCTTCATTTATTTCTCAGGTAATATAAAAGGATGTCTGAAAAAGAAAATCATACGATGACATGAGCTTACTTTGTAAAAAAAACATTGAATTATTTAATTAATTAGAATATCGATTACAGTAATTTAATAATCATAAAAAAGAAACTAAGCTGCTTTTGTTGAAAAACATTTTCAGTGAGGACCTAAAGAGCAGACTTCTCACTTTACTTAATAGCAAAACATGTCTCAGTTTTTATAAAATGCGCATTTTCATATAATATATACTGGTCTATAGTTACGATGGTGTTTACTACAGCGAGACGTTTAATTGTATTTGATTTTTTTTTTCGTTTATAATATTTTAATTTTGTTTTACAAATTATTTATTATCAATAAAAGAATATGTTTTTTTGTATGGCAGGTACATTATAATAGTGCTTTTTATTAACAGACTATATTAAAGATTTCTATAAATACAACTTATAAATTGTCTGAACAATTTTTTTCAAATCGTTACCGGAAGATAGATGAATATAATAATGATTAAAAAAGAAAGGATAAAAGAAGAAAGAGTAGGTGTGATATAAAATGGATAAATTTCCTTAAATAATGGAAAAATAAAATATTCTAGTAAATGATAGTCTATTGTATTATTAATTCATTTTGAGGATGTCGGTGTGGCCTGATTGAATCAACCCACATCCTCAATTTTGATGATTTGCTTAAAATAGTAAGACTATATTAAAGTAAAGTCTTGGCACCTTTGAATATTGTTTTAACTTAAGAAAAATAATAGTCACTTTTAAAGGTTAATAGATTACAACCTCTTTCTAACGCTGCAAGAAAACAAGCTACGTCATTATATATGTTGTATAATATTTTGAAAATCGATAGGACGACGCCTACCCACCCGGAAACTTCTGATTACACCACTAATTCTGTCTGAGAAATGACTTAGTCTTATATGACTTTTGAAAACTGGTGACCTCTATAATCATTAATTTTCTGACTGTAATTTCAGTGGATTTTAGTTACTATTCACTGTATCGGTGAGAATTAAAGTAGAATATGATCCTTAATATTAATTGAAATATTCAATGTTAAGGAGATTAATTACTTATCGTTTCGCAAATATGAATAATTTTGCTAAACGATCAATTATTATTGAAAAGAATGAACGGAATCTAGTTACTCAAATGAAATCAATGAATAATAATAAACAATTCAAAAAAGCACTTCAATTATTTGATGAACATAATAATAATAACAAGAATATTGATCAAATGTCTAATTTAGTTTTCACACAAGTTTTGAAATCATGTACTGGATTACGTGATTTTCAACGTGGAACTAAGATTCATAGTATTGTTTCAAATCGTTTGAATAAAGATTCATATTTATTAACATCTTTAATTCATTTCTACAGTAAATATGAAAAAATATAAAACTGTCGAATATTCTCGTTTTTGTTATTAAAGTGCAATGTAATCAAGTAAGACAAGCTGAAGAATTATTTAACATAATTAAGGAAAAAACATTACCTATGTTTGGTGCTTTGATGAAAGGTAAATATCAATATTTATTTTATATAAGATAAACATTATTCTATATTAGGTTATATTACAAATCATCAAGCAAATAAAGTTATTACATTATTTGATCAGATTGATAATCCTGATGAAACTATATATATCCTTGTTTTAAATGCATGTGCTCAATTAAAAACCAATCAAGCATTAATTTTAACAAAACAAATTTGTAACATTGTTCAAGATAAACTTCAATCAAATTCTTATCTTTCAACTTCATTATTAGATGCATTAGCGAAATGTGGTGATATGGTAGAAGCTGAAAGATTATTTCATTCATTAGTAAATAAAATCTCACCTATGCATGGTGCATTGATGAAAGGTAAATGATTATTCATATAAAGGAAATCTGATTTAGTAAAAATGAGTTGTTTTTTTTAGGATATATAGAAAATCAAATGGAAAATAAAGTTATTGAACATTTCAAACATATAGAAAAGCCTAGTGAAAGTGTTTTAACTCTTTTCTTTAATGCATGTGCTCAATTAAAGACTGATGAAGCATTAAATTTAATTAAAAAAACTTCAAAAACTATTTCAAAATCATTCAGCTTAAATTCTCGTCTTTTAACATCTCTATTAGATGCATTGGTTAAATGTGGAGATTTAAATTATGCTCAAAATTTATTCGATCAATTACCGCAAAAAACATTATCAATGTATAAAGTTATGATTAATGGGTATTTAAAAGAAAATAATTCTTTTAAAATATTAAATCTATTTTCTCAAATGAAATTAAATCATATTGAAATTGATCATATCATTTGGACGTCTATTATAAAAGCTTTAGCTTATATTGGAGATTTGGAATTATCTAAATCTATTGTTGAACAAATACCTGAATCTTGTTTGATTGATAATCAAATACACAATGCATTGATCCATATGTGGGTAAGTCGAAAGACAAAAAAATGTTTTTTCATTTTGTAATAAATAGGGAAAGAGTGGTTGTGTTGATGGAGCAGAGAAAGTTTTCATAAAAATTTCTCAACCAAATACTATTGGATATGCGGCAATGAGTACGTATTATTAAATTGTTTTCTTAGAAATGTAAAAAATATTTTGATCATTAGTTAATGCGTATGGTTTAAATGGACAAGGTTTAAAAGCCATTGAACTCTATGAAAAAGTTCCTGATGAATTCATCAATGAAGCTACTTATATTTGCATTTTGAATGCATGTTCACACGCTGGACTTGTTGATAAAGCTTTGTCAATATTTAACAAAATCGAAATGAAAACAGAAAGAATTTATACAGTTATGGTATAATAAAATAGTGATATAACTTTGAAGCATTTTAATAATATTCTTTATAGACCGATTGTCTTAGTCGATCATTTTTTTTCATAGAAGCTCAGCAGTTAATCAATGAATATGAATCGTTTCATTTACCTTCAGCACCTATGTATTGTAAGTGCTATTTTGTGGAAATATTCAAGCATGTTTTATTTATTTTCAGTGGCATTATTATCTGCTGCTCGAAACGCGAAAAATCATCATTTATCACAAGAAATTTATAATCGTATGAAGAAGCATTTTCCTCAATTATCAGATTCAATAACATCAGCTGCAATTCTTCTTTCGAATGTTTATGGATCAATAGGTGATATGGAGAAAGTATCTGAAATCAGAATTAAATTAAATCGATCTGGTGTAAAGAAAAAAATTGGTCTTTCATGGACTGTTATAGATGGACAAGTTTATGTGAGTTAATATAATCAATCGGTAGTGTTTTTTTTATTTTAAGATATATCAACTAATTTTATTTATAGGAATTTCGAGCTCATGATCAATCTCATCCTCAATCAAAAGAAATTTATGATGAAATTGAAAAAATCTCAAATGAACTTATTCAACATGGTCACCAATACGATTCCAGTTGGATTACACGACCAATTAATCAAGATGAAACAGAAACATCTGTACTTTGTGGGCATAGTGAAAGACTTGCTATTGCATGGAATTTTGTTTCCAAACCGAATACATCACGAATTCAATTGGGAAAAAATCTTCGCATTTGTGGTGATTGTCGTAAGTTATCATGCGAATTATTCTTTTTTTCACAATGTTCTTTTTCTTTGTAGATAGTGCAATAAAACTCATTGCCAGTATTCGTCAATGTGAAATTGTTGTTCGAGATGCAAATAGAATTCATCATTTTTTCAAAAATGGTCAATGCTCCTGCAATAATTTCTTCTGATTTGCTTTCTTTTCTTGAAGAAAAATAAAAAATTATCTCGTCTTTATATGAAAGGTGTGCGCATTGTAGGGCCCGTCTAACACTAACTAAGTAGTTCTTTTCCATCTATACACAAGAGTGAAAGATATATAACCACATTATAAACATTAGTTTTTTTATTTGATTTTATAAATTTTAAAATTTATCTTAACTAATATATATTACGCATAGAATATATGATTAAACAAAATGATGTTAATTGTATATCGAGTCTTTTCTTGTTCATTTGACGTTGGTATCTGATCATTATTGAGAACATTTTTATGTCAATCAATTGAATTTTCGCTGTTTGTCTAATACATAGATCAATTACTGATGATTAGAATAAAATTATCTTTTACTGAAATAATTATACAATAGTTATTTAATTGATGCACGAAATGCACCGATTTTTTTCCAGTAGAGCAAAACATTTGAACCGGTCCGGTCTGGAAAAATCAGACCCGTTTCAAATCTAATTTCGTCATATCTCAATAGAAACGCAAGCTCTTTTAGAGTTATTACTAGGACACGACTTTACTATCCGATAAAAAATCATTGCAATCGGAGAGGGTACCTGGAAAGACTCTTTTGTGAGTGATCAATACTTGATTCGATAATGTTTGAAACTTTAATTAGTGACGCGTTAAAAGTACACTGCACACTTTTGAATGAATAGTTGAGCCATATCCTAAAATAAAATTGCAGCTTTCTGCAGTATTCTCTTATCTTAAATGGATCAAGTCTTTTGTGGTTTAACAACAACTTTATTTTTCAACAAAGATATACAACATCAATTAACAATATAACTATTGCTATTTGTGACGATTTCTGATGGAAGAAGTGTATGTGCTGATGATACTACGCCATTATTCATTTCTTCCTCTCAAGAATCCCATCGTTCTGATACAAAACACATGCTTATCTACTCGTCTATCACATAGAACGAAAGCAAAGAGAATGCCAAAGTACACCAAAATACACCGAAGTAAGGACATAAAAAAGTTAATCCATTAGATGACAAGAATCGAAAGGACAAAAGCGCATACTAAAGAGAGCGTTACACTATTCTAATTTAAAAGGCATCATCTAACTATCACCAGTATTTTAAATTCTTTGATGAGCTAAAGTCTGATCTCACTGCCTTTTGAAAATTACAGTTAACTAGTTCTCACAAGCATAGAATTGAATTAATGCCAGCTTGGTGGGCTAACTTCAGGATATTAATCTATCCATTCAATGTGTGTGCAAGTTTCACAAATTTAATCTTATATTTCTTTTATTGAGGAAAGGAAAATATAACATTTAAAAAAAAACAATAAAATATTATTAATCTTCCAAGCAATTGTAGCAAGGACAATGTGAAGTAATGACTGGATTTGGTTTTATTACGTTTCTTAAAATTGCGATCTGCCTGTTGCAATATATGTCACTAGCATGCTCAATATTCCAATGTATTTGTTCCATTGCTGAATATTTAAAATAATTGGCACATTTTCCATTGTCTCCCATAAACAAATCTTTACAACTTGGCTGATGAGTAAAGTATGGAATGTTGAGTTGAAGTAATTCATTGATTTCACATTCAGCTAATTGCGAATTTAAATTGGATGAATGTAATTGAAGGTAGCCTTCTAAATACTGACGAGCTACTTCTTGATTAGCTGAGAACTGTGGCTGTTGTAAACGTCGAACTAGCATGGCATAAAATAATGTTGTACGAATTACTTCTCGAGCCGAAGTTATCTTTTTTATTGCACACCAAAACTCATTGTCACCATCCAATAACACTGCTGCATGATTTTTTATATGTTGATAAGTGTGCATATAACCTTCAATAGATTCGTCCAAAAATGATTCGATTGTATAAGCTTGCTTATCTAAGCAAGGAGCATTTTGTAAGATCGTGTATATTGGTTCTGTTGAAGATTCATCCGCCATTATATCATTCTCATTTCGGATGAAACTTACTTTAATGTCATCGGTATGGTCATTGATGATACGCGGTTGAAAAATCTTTTTAATATAACCAGCTGCTTGGAAAGCTGAACAACTTTCAGTTCGATCACATTTTTTAATGTGATCCGATTTTTCGATTAAGCCCGTAAATGATATACTTCGCTCTTGTTTCAATGAGCCTATTTGCACTTCTAATTCGTCGATAGGAAAGTTTTGAAAAAGTGTTTCACTATCAATAAGATACGGATATTCTCCATGAGCAATTAAATTTTCACAATGTCCATCACAATAGTTTAAATTATCTAAAACAGCTAACATGCTTCCGCTGCGCTTGTAATAGTTTCTCATTTCATACATACTATTGCAGGACTTATGCTCTATATATTCGTACCATGAATAATTATTTTTTTTTATGAATTTACGTGTTTTAATATCATATGGATGAGAGAGATCTAATAAATTAATAAATACTTGTAATGCTTGATCGACAGAAGAATCACAGTTTTTATATACTAATTTTTGCTTATCTTGAAAAGTCAATAAAATGACTGTTCGCCCTTCTTGATGTCTGTCAGAGCCAGATACATGAATTTCAAGAAGATTTACCGGATTGGCATCCACAGACAGCGTATTGCTAATATCATTCCTATCTTTAACTAGACAGTTCAAGCATGTTTTGATATTTTCAACTGTAGAAAGACAGAATGTTGTAATACGGGTGAATATAAAAGGATATTTCTGAATAACTTCACGAGCCACATTCGTCCACGAATGTTTTGAAGAGTCAATAAAAAAATTTCGATACCTTTCATGAGGTGTTAGAGTATTGTTCTCACATTTGTGTACGTGTATTTCATAGGCAATAATGGGCATTATCATATCGTCTAATTCATCTGCTAAATGTTGCATTATAACAAATAATACACCAGCAATATTAATACATCCAAATTCTTCCACTTGACTGGTTAATTGTTGAGCAATATTTTGTAAATCATTAATATAATATTGAGCACGAAACACATCACGATATTTGATACCTTGCAGAATGTCATTACAAACGCTGCTCATTTTAAAATCTAGAAAATAAACTTCGATGACTATCATGTAACTAAATAAGTAGTATAATATAAATATTCATATTCACACACAACCTAAGCATTATATATGGAAGAAATGGGGATCATTATAGAAGTTATTATCAAACTTTATAATGCATACGTATATATCTCGTAAAAGAAATTATAGTGCAAATTGAGCATATATTATGCCATCTCCTATTAACTAATGTTTGCGTACATTGATATTTTCAGAATTTTGTGCTATGAGAGAGAAAGTGAAGGTACATGGTGTGGACCTACTTTCGTCAAGAGCTGTGCAGACGATTGTGTTATCTAAGTTACAAAAATTTCGCAGTTGAAGAAAGCAAATATATCTGTAAGCAAACCATCTGGTCGTATTATCATTCTATTTATAATCGTTTTGTTGGAAAAATCCAACGAAATCAATCGCGTCGGAAGTGCAGATAAATAATAGGACAGATGAAAGTGCATTATTTTTGTGTCGTCTTTAACATCCGATTATATTGGAGCAGGTGATTTTATTTCTTTTCTAATTACATGATACTTACGTAATAAAATAAAGTCCACGGGTTTCAAAGCATATGACTTCCTACCTATTCTTATTTTCTTATAGCCCTTTTTTAATCAAAGTCATATGATAGTTTCCTAGTATTATTACGCAGTTTAATTCTATTTTTGTCATAATTACGTGACACTTTTTTAATTTGCTTTTTTCTCGCCTACATAAGCCCCATGCTTAGCAAAGACGTGAACTATATAAACAGAGCTTCTGATTCACTTGTAATCAATTCAATCTAGCCCGTACAATATTTGCATAATAAAACTTGGTTTTATAACGATATCAAAATGAAGTTAGTATTTCAAACATAAAATATATGCGATTATCTTTCAATATTATACATAAAAATTGTCTTCGTTTCAGTACCTTCGATGCTCGTTTCTCCTCGGTTACTGGAATTAATGATTTACGACTTCCGAATCAAGAAAACTTGGGTGGTTTATTACGAATGACAACAATGTGTTGTAGTACATCCACTTGCAAGAGCTTCGTAGCATTCGCAAAGAAAACCATTCAAAGCCCAATACTATCAGGTGAAATAATACAGAATGCTGACATTCAAAAGAAGCAACCATCTGTATCTCAATTATTGAATCAATATGGACGCCTTGCTTAAAATATAATCATATTTTCGCTTCAAAAGTGTTCCAATCCAATCCACTTCCATTCCTCACATATAATTCTTATTCTTTTTAAATATCATTTGATATTTGATTCCTTCCTAATGATAAGCTAACCAAGAAAAAATAAATATTTTAAAAATGCTTCTGTTCTTTATTTACATATTATATGGATTTACATATGAGTAAGATTCATTCTGTGCTATTTCCATCGAAGATGTCGTGAAAATCATACACATTGATGGAGGGACTGTGAATCATAATTGATAAATGTAGATAACAGCTAATATTTTCAGATGGGTGGGTGTAGGTGTGGGTGGATGTAGATGTGGGTGTGGGTGTGGGTGTGGGTGTGGGTGTGGGCGTGGATTTCTTTTTATCCATCGGCATCCACATCCACCTCTATACAGACACCTACACCCGCCCCACACCCACACTCATACGCTCTCGAAATTATACGACACTAATCCTGAGGCCAAACTGGTTCCGCAATACTCAACATTACGGGAGAGAGTGACTGTTAACAATATTTTTTTTGATTACTAATCATGTTCAGTAACCATTATCATAAGTCACGTCATAGTACATGACTTACATACAGGAAACGAATGAACATTATTTTAATACATTTTATTTATCAAATAATAAGTCAATAGCAAACAGAGCAAATAATGCGAGAGCGTGATTTTCATAAAGTTGACGTTGAGTAATCTCATGTTTCATAGTAATAGGAAACAGTCTATGGTTAAAGTCATATATCAACAAAAAAATGAGACAACTACGACGATTTGCCTTAGTAGTCATTTGTTCATTTTTTTCTACATAATGGACGAGGAAATCACTGTAACGTCTTCAGAAGAAGTTATGGAGACGAAATCGTCTGGATTTCTACCGCGTAAAATGTTTGGCTTGCAGTTCAAACATGGTCTTAAGTTTATTTCTTCTTTATTGTTGCCACTCGTATTAGGCGTCTTTACATCTACTATCGCGATTCAGCAGCAAAAATTAGCTAGACAACAACGTAATGAAGATCGAAGTGCATCCCAACTACATCTTAACCAACAGAAAACTTTGGATACAGAAAGATATAATAATGAAATTTTCGATACTTATATTAGGGAGATGGCCATATTATTGAAGGAAAATAATGGTTCACTCACAGACAATGACGTAACAGCTATTGTAGCTCGAGTGAAAACTCTAAATATCTTTCGTAAACTAGATTCACAACGCAATGCTCGAATTATTAGATTTCTACACGAAGCTAAGCAACTTCCTGTTTCAGAGACACGTCGTGCAGTGAATTTTTCAACGACAAACCTTAATGATTCGGAGGTACGTTGTGCATCGAATCTTTCAACGGCAAATCTTAACGATTCAGAGACACGTTCTGCATTGGATCTTTCAACGGCAAAACTTAATGCTATTGATTTTCGTGAATTAGCAGTATACGAAAAATACTTGCGTAACTTATCATTGACTGACATTTATCTATCGAATGCAACGTTTACAAATATTCAAGCAGAACGCATTAACTTTGCTCACACACAGTTCGATAATATAACTTTCTCACGAAGTGATCTTAATAATGTTAATTTTTCACACAGTCGCTTTCGTAATACTGACTTTTCATTTGTTCATCTGGATGGTGTTAACTTCTCATATGCCGAACTCTATAATGTAGACTTTTCGCGTGCCCATCTCGAAAACGTTGACTTTACGTTCGCAAAACTCGACAATATTAGCTTTTTATCGGCTCGATGTTACAATGTGAATTTTTCTGAGTCTGAGCTCAATAATGTCGACTTTTCTTCTTTTACGCCACGGAATGTCAGTTTCGTGTCGACAAGGCTTAATAATACTGACTTTTCAAATGGCTTTCTAACTACTGTAGATTTTACCAAAGCTCTGCTCTTCAATTGCCACTTAGCAGGCGCTACGCTATCGAAAATTAGTGTAGATTTCGCTCGATTTGACAATGCAGTTTTTGTTTCCAATATATTTCATATGGTTTCGTTTCCAAATAGTGCATTCTTCAGTTCAAATCTGTCACATGTCCACTTCGTTACAACAGACTTTTCGTTAACACAATTCGACAATACAAACGTTTCAGATGCTGTATTCGATCAAACAAATTTCACATTAGCTAAACTCCATAAAGTTAGCTTTTTCTCATGTGAATTTAAAGGGGCCATTTTTTCATCAGCCATCTTAGGTAATGTTCATAATTATCATTTTTCTCATATAAAATGTGATGTTTGATTACATTTCTAGTTTCAGTTAAATTCAGGAATACTAGCATGTTTAATACAAACTTTCGAGAAGCTATTACTAATAAAGCAGATTTTGCTGCTGTTGATTTGTCAAATTCTACGTTCGTAAGCGCTGATATTCAAGGTGCTTCTTTCATAGGATCTGACCTGAACAATGTTAATTTTTCCGACGCTAATCTGCATAAAGTTGATTTAACTAATGCTAAGATTACAGAAAAGCAATTACAAAGTGCCATTTCTATTCATGACGCTTTACTGCCTAATGGAACCCTTGCTCATGGCAGCAACTTCCTCAGTAATGGCCAAACTGACTGCAATATGTCTTTCGGTGATAATTGGATATTACACAAAGGCAATATTACTGCAAAAATATCACACATTGATCCAAATAATTGTTATTTTTTCTTGCGATCATATAATATTGGAGCTATTATATCTCGACGTGTTGATTTAACAAAGTGGGATTCACAATCTTGGCCACATTCTCAGATTATTTTGAGCGCTAATATGAGCATTGGTGTGTCGATCCAGCTGAAAGTAACTAATAGCACTGAAGATATAAATATTCATCCAAGATTGGGTAAGTTTTAATAGAGAACACTCACTAAATGAAATGTTTTATATACAGATTCAACTGGAACAAACATCAGCTTTCCTTTGAAGAATGGCATTCGAGAACTCGAAATATCTATTGAGTTTAGTGAACTCAGCGGTCAAAACAGTGTGCCCAGTTATTGGTGTGGTGACATCAAACTCTTTATTATCTACGGCAAATATTTAAAGTTCTTAACTGGTAAAAATCACTATTTTATTAGATAAATAAGAGATAATTGTATTCACAACTAGAGCCCTACAAACCGGCCGGGTGCCCGGACCCCACCCGATTCGAAACATGGGTCCAGGTAAAATTTACCGAAATGGCTCGGGTGCCGGGCGCCATTGTATACTCGAGGGGTGGGTGTGGGTGGGTGTGAGATGATGCAGCACGGAAGTTACACTGGCACCCATCCACCCACACCCTAGTTTTTAAAGAACCTGAATAGTTGTCAATAAAATATAGTCTCTGAATGAGTTACATGGCTCTTTCGACAAAAAGATGATATATTTTTATCAGGATGATATTTCTAGCTTGTTATTTATTTGTTTCTAGTTATTCCTCAAATTCCGTCGAATGCACGATGGAAACAAGATGGAATGTGTGTTGCTGGTTGTGATCGAAAGGGGCGCGTCACAAATCAGCTCCAGGGACCTTATAATTTGTTTATTGTTGAAGATGAAACAATGGTAATCGTCGAAAGCGAAAATAATCGTGTCATTCAGTGGAAAATAGGCGATATGAATGGGCAAGTGTTAGCTGGCGGAAATGAAACGGGAAATAAATTGAATCAACTTAATTTTCCGAGCGATATGGTGATCGACAAATGGACTGATAGTCTCATTATCTGTAATCGATTCGGTAAACAAGTCGTACGATGGTATCAGCACAATGGCATCATGCAAGGAGAACCTCTAATCAATGATATTAGCTGTTATGGATTGGCTATAGATGATCAACAATTTCTCTATATCTCAGACATGGGAAAACATGTAGTCAAACGATACCAGATGCCAAACATGGCTGGATGTGTTGTCGCTGGTGGTAATGGAAAAGGTGATCATAATAATCAACTCTACATACCAACATTCATTTTTGTCGATCAAAAACAATCTGTCTTTGTATCAGACAATCGAAATCATCGTGTAATGAAGTGGGAAAAAGATGCAAAAGAAGGAATTGTTGTCGCTGGGGGAAATGGTGACGGAAGTGCTCTGACACAATTATCATCGCCTAATGTAGTGATTGTTGATAATTTTGGTACTGTCTACGTGGCAGACGCGGGCAATCATCGAATAATGCGTTGGCCTAGAGGAGCCACACAGGGCATTGTCATTGTGGGTGGACAAGGACAAGGACCAGATTCAAACCAGTTGTATGGGCCCACGGGTTTCACCTTCGATCATCGTGGCAATCTGTATGTAGCAGACACTCTAAATCACCGAATACAACGTTTCCTTATTGAATAAACTTTTCAAAGCTGTTCGTTCCTTTTTTTTCGGTCAAAAATAGTGAGTTCGAATCGTCGTAAGCTGTAAGTCCCAAGCTGATCTCATGCCACCCCACACTTTACTACCAAAAGCAGTTCATCACAGTTTTATATTAAAATTCATCATCTGAATGCTTGCAATGGAACATCCCCAACTAAATCATCGCTTTGGAGTTTGGACCCCGTGTATTAGGCAGATCCCAGTGTGGTATGAAAAACCCCAAAAAGATAAGTGGCCATAGGTCTTCTGCCCTGAGCTATAGACGATACACTGAGATTTTAGCCTATGGCATAGTATATATAAATAAATCGAATGACTGTATTTCGACCTGAGATTTTGCCCACAGAGAGGCCTATATGCAAGTACAATGCCCTGAAAATTTCAACAAAAAAAAAAGTTTCCGTCTCGAGATATCAAAGAACGTTCTTTTCAGCTATATTTTCAGGGCATCCTACTCACATATAGACCTCTCTGTGGGCAAGATCTCAGAGCAAAACACCGTCGTTCGATTTATTTATATATGCCATGCCATAGACTAAAATGTCAGTATATCGTCTATAGCTCCGGAGAGAAGACCTATGGAGACTTATCCTTTTGGAGTTTTCATACCTCACAGGGAATCAGTTCGGAGATGTTTC